ATGGTTATACATCCTTCTTCTGGACAGACTTCAGTAATGCAGAAATGCCTGTTTGTGGAATTTTTATTTGTGTATGCACTATAGCAGAGACTGGGCAAACCATTGGGCAATTTTATTGTGTAATTGAAATTGGCATTTAAAACATTGCCTTCTAATTGAGTTTTCCAATGCTCTACAGCATTGTTACAAATAGGAAATTATTTTTCTGAATGCATTGAATAAAATTAAATATTTAAGCAATAACAAAACTGTTCCAATTTAATGGATGCATTGATGTACTATTTTCATTACCTTAGAGGCTTTAAACACAAATTAAAACACATAACTACTTTCAAACACTCTACATAAAAAGGGATATAATTCCAGCTTCATGAAACAATTTAAGCAGCCGAGTTCCATGAAGGCCCATGTTTATATTGTCTCCAGTGGAACTACAGCAGCCCCGTTTGGATTGTTAAAATAAATCGACCATTACTTTCATTCCTGCACGGCTGCTATCCTGGCTTATAGGAAATGATTGATAGTGTCACATAGAAGACCATCAGGATATGAATATTAACCAAGTGGCATTCATTTCTTATCTGATACCTGTCCCTTGTTGCCAAGGTTTACCAGTCAGATCTCAGTAGCATATGCAACCAGGTGCTCCTAACCTAAAAGATGGAGAATTATCTTGCACAATCAGGCACATCCCTGCTGTGTTTTAGATGAGCAATTTGGCTTTTTGATGCGGAATTATAATCCAGTAAGTGCCTTGTACATAATGAGCCGATACATCTCAACATCTGCCTAGCAAAATACTTGTTAACGTTTGCAATTGTGCCTTTACTAGTAAGTTGCATGCAGTAATCCAACTGTATTTTGTGTAAGCTTCCTGACCTATACTGGAACCAATACAACAATAATTTTACAGCAGACTAATGGAAGGGCTCCTGTCCTTAGTCTAAATAAAGAGCAAAGAGCTATACACCAGAGAAGTGAGATGAAAGTGTCTGTCCTTGACATGAAGGCAGCAGGTGGTTGAGTGTGACAACAAGGAGCCTGAGCAAAACTGGAATCAATGGGTATCAGGAGGTGAACTCACCACTGGTTGGAGTCATACCTGGCACAAAGGATGATTGTTGTGGTTGTTGGAGGACAGTCATCTCCACTCCAGGACATCTCTTCAGGAGTTCCTCAGGATAATCTCCTAGGCTCAATCATCTTCAGCTGCTTCATCAATAACTTTCCCTCCATCATAAGGTCAGAAGTGAGGATGTACAATGTTGACGGGAAGGTAATGGCCTGGTAGTATTATTACTGGACTGTTAAGCCAGAGAGCCTGGTAATGTTCTGGGGACCCAAGTTTGAATCCTGCCATGGCAAATGGTGGAATATTGATTGTCAGAAAAACCCATCTGGTTCACAAATGTCCTTTAGGGAAGGAAACTGTCATCCTTATCTAGTCTGGCCTACATGTGACTCCAGACCCATCGAAATGTGGTTGATTCTTGACTGCCCTCTTTAATTAGGATGGCCAGTGACCCCCTAATTCTGTGAATGAATAAAAAAAAACTCCTGAGACTCTGTCCCCTGGTTCTAGATTCCCCAACCAAGGGAAGCAACCTCCCTGCATCTAATCTGTATATCTCTCTTAGAATTTTCAAGTCTCCACCGGATCCGTTCTCGTTCTTCTATATTTTAGTGAAGAACAATCAACCAATCAAACAAGGAGAAATAACTGCCAGTCTTTCTTGTCTCCCAATTGCCCAAGGTTGTGCTCTGACATTATGGATAGTAATTACAGCTGACAAAGTTTTAAAATGTTTACACACTGATGAGAGATGCCTCAGTTAAAATATCAAACTTCATGTCCCAAATGATGTACCAGCAGTTCAAACAAATTAAACAAGATGTGTAATCCTGTGAGCGACCAATTTCATTGTGCAACTTTAAAATCACTAATGCGCCTTCATTTAATTACTTCTCGTACATGACCTTTCAAAGTGATTGCAGTTAACCTATTGCTTAACTGCTACCCTCCTGAATAAGCTGAAATCTCCCAGCAATAAAGCAGTAAATAGGAAATAAGTTTTGGTTGTTACAAAGCAGGTTGGTCAACACTTGATAGGGAAGCATGTTAACAGGCAGGTTCTGCAATGAATGGACAATTGGATTACACCACTTGTGTCAGCTCAGGGTCATTCAACAGTAGGAACACACATGTTTATGTTTCACACTAATGTAGTCACATGCACCAAGGATTTTTATAGGAGTGTAATCAGACAAAAATGTCAATGGTAAGTGTAACAGTGCGGCAGCTGAAGCAGCAAGGGGTCCAAGCAATATGAAATGAGTGACTAACCATTGATTTTTAATTTGTATTTGTTGTAAGAAGAACATTGCTTCATTTCTCATCTTGGAAAACAATGAGCTAATTTTCAGTAACTTGATGCAATGCATTGCCTACCTGTTGAAGAACTCATCTGATTTCTATTCCATTGAAATTTCTTTCTGTGGATCAGGAAGGAGAGAGAAACTTGGATTTTTTTTATCTTAACACTTGCTGAAAATGCCCATATCAGGATGAGGCTGGTCTCGCTCAGGCACCTTATGGCTAATTTTCACACTCCCTTCTTGTGCAACAACTGGTTGGAGTGAACTGCTTGCCCTTTGCAGAATGTTGCATGTTCTTCCCTCTGGTGAAATGGAATTGGGACACATTCTTCAGTGGGTGGGCATTGGCTTTTCCAGCTGGCCAGCTAGTGAAGTTTTAAATGAACCCTTCTTGTCTCCAGCCTGACACCAGAAGAATGTCTGAGAGAACAGAATGTGGAGAGCTAATGATGCTTGCGGCTAATTACTGAGACATAAGTTTGGACAAGACAGAAAACTGAAAACCGAATGAATGCTAATAACTGCAACCAAATGCTTTCATGTTGATAAATAAAACTGAAGAGAAGTGAATACTTAAGATTACTCTAAGGGCTTTAGAAGAAGCTATGTGTCTTTGGAAGAAATGAAAGAAAGAGAATGAGAATATAATAATTAAAAAAAGTCAAAAATAACCAGTTGATGAACTTATTTTAAAATATACATGAATGAAATAACACGGAATTCATTTCAGGTTATCCAAACGGAGGCTTTTGAATAAAGATCATTGAATCAAACACACATACTTTTACTCTCATCACAGATACTGCCTGAGCTGCAATATGTTTCATACTTTTTATTAGTTTTCCTTTAGTTATGACTAACAGTACTGTTTCAGCTAAATGAAAAGCATATTGCTTTTAACAGCAAAATATTTTGTTGATGATGAATTTACGCAATGTTAAAATTAGATTTAAAACTGAATACAGTTTAGATATATTATCAGGATGTTGAAAAGAAGTTTGTTTTATGTTGCATCTCTAGTGCCCTTGCAATAATCCTTGCATTATTTAACCTCTAGTTTTCAAATTTAACAGTAGAGTTCCAGAAGGTTCTGCGGCAGAGTCTTGGAATTCTGCTGGCAAGAGCCTGATAATATGAGTTGTTATTGGATTTTCAACTGAACATGCAAGTACTATAACCCTTTTGTCTTAGTTATACATGGAATTAAGAATCATATTGGATACCAAGGCATTATTTGGTATTTAACGCACAGATAGCCACCTTGATCTCTTTGTCTAGAAGAGTTACACACATTCTGATCTACCTTCAGATACATGCTGGTCTTGCAATTCCTTAGAATGGTTTTGATTAGCATATTTCCAATGTTTCAGTGTCAGTGAACGCTGTCGATTGACAATAACCTGTGGAGCTTTAGCTGACTTAGAGACAAAAGCATGAAGTACTGAAAACTTTCAGTCAACTGATCTATGGAGCAAACTGGTAGGAACACTTCACCAACCTGAAATACTTGTTTCTGTGTTCTCTCCTGACCCGTCAAACATCTCCAGAAGGTTTTAGACAAGGGCTGGATTGTATGTGGTGGTGATGTTGGGGACAGCCCTGGCTCCAGCTGCAAATCCAGGGACAACTCACCTCTTCTGCCTTTGGAAGCCAACACTAGATTGTATGCTGATCAGGCAGTCAGCTGCCTACGGTCATGGCTGCTGTGATCCTGTGGGAGGATGTTCCACCTCTAAGAGTTACCAGATGATCAGAGGACTGGCAGATCTTCAGGCCCCCACAGCACCACTGGGAGCTGTGGCCATTGGTGGGACGGTGTCTGTCCCTGACGAGGAGCCATGAAGAAGGCTGGTCTGGAAGGTAAGTAGTACAGCCAATGCCAGAACCAAGCAGGCAGACCCTGGTGTGGGGGAGGGGTTGATGATTAGGAAGTCAGAGGAGGGTGAGAGGAAGAAGAAGAAAGACAGGAATTTCAGGTGGCTGACCCTTTCCACCGTGGGGTGTCCTTTCTTGGGCATAGGACGTTGGACATGTGGGAACCACCTATCCTGAACCTGCAGCCAGGCTATCAGGTTTTACCTTATTATGCAACACAGGCAGCTCTTTTCACTACTTTATTTTGCCCAATGGTACATGGCTTGCCTTTCACTGGTAAAACACCAGCAGGGATGTAGGGCATGGCGTCATCCTACCCTTTGGTTGAGAGTAACATACATTTCTGGCTTATGTTTCAGACATCCAGCATCAAAAGCAGCTTACTCTTTACTTTTTCATGGATGTTAATTCTAAACATTTGTTTCAAACATGAACCTTTAATTTCAACATTAATTTTATGTTAATTAGCTTTATTCCTATTCTGTAATCCAGAAGAATGAACAAACTGATTATTTCTTCTTTTATGCATGTTCACAAATTAAGCTTGAACATGCAAATCAGTGTTAGATTTCTGGCAGGGTTATATGAAATGTTCCGGTCATGAATAAATAGAAATTATTTGAATTTCAGTGAGAGCAGTGTATTTTTAAGTAGATTTGTCAATAAATGCCTCAATATTTAATGGGAGGGATAAATTTTGTACCGGCTTTTGAAATTCTCAGCTGTTATAACCATCTCTCTACTTTCAGGCCTCCATTCTAGATTTGCACTCTGGAGCACTATCAATGGGGAAACAGTTTGTTAATATTTATAGGTAAGTTCTGCTGTTTACACTTCACCCAGTTCTCCATGTGTTCTCCTGGATAGTGTCAGCAAGCTAAGAGACTGAGCTAAGCCTGATTAAGGTGTCACCAAACACCTACCCGAGATACATTTGCGGCAGGGTATCATTTGATAGTGAACAGGACTGGAACTTAGAGCTGTTTATTTCCTGTCATGAACCCAGGAGGGCATATTATATATGAAGTGCCCACCTTTATGTTAAAGAAAGATACTGACAAGCAAAATTATTAAGCAACAAACAGACAGCATTCCTAACTGAAGTTTTTATTGCTTTAGAAAAATGAAGCCAAAGGCAATTCAATGGGGTGATTAGAGGTAACTTTAATCAATAATTTGGAAGCTGGAGGGGAGAAATCAGGTACTTTGAGGCCCTTTAGAACTATTACATTTGTTTTATGGAAGAGAGCATGTAGGTTTGGAATATTTGCATGCTGTTAATTTAAAATGATATTTGCAGGTACTTTGGAGAGCAAATAAAGGATATATTTGATAAAGAAGACTTCGCACTATACAGGTAACACTGTTCAAGTATTCTGATTACTTATGTGAGTAGCAAGAATGATGATGTACATAGATATTCCTTAATTAATATTTCTCTCCTCTCCCTCTTCCTTGCACCCTCCTCTCAGTCTTCTCTTGATGTCTGTTGAGACTGTGTATATTGATCATTGTCTTATATCTGTGCATCTCTTGCTTATTTTTAAATTAGTGCGTCTCTCTAGGATTTGAGCAAGGTTATAAAGCCTGTGGAATTTGAAGCAATTGCAGTGGGTAGCAGTAACTTCAGATTTTCGATAGTTGTTAGTGTAATCCTGATCCATTCCCTGAACATTATTGATTGTTCCCTACTCACACATCTTAAAAATAGAAAAAAATGAATGGCTTTAAGTGGTATACATCACTGCTTTCAGATGGCATGTGACACATTGAAGTACTGTAGTTGATGAACAAATTTCTCTCAGTTCCATCCTTCCTTTGTTTTCATTGAAATATTTAATTTCTGACTTTTTATTGATACTAGTGGCCAGTGTTTTACATTTTGCTTTTTGTTCTTTCTAAGCTCCCATTGACATTTAGCTGCTCGTTTCTGCTTCACTGTTGTGTTGAAATCAATACCATTATGCAGGCTGTTACTCTAGCTGATTGTCTGTCAAGAAATGATAATTGTGGAATTGTTTGAAAACTCAAACCTGATACAACCTAGTCACTACTTGATGCATCATCTTTGATCCAAATCACTTTAACACTTGTATCCTGCTCTTTTGGCCATTCATCTAAATAATCTAAAAAAATTTCAACTTGATATCGAGTTGCCAGATCAATTTTATAACGATAAATGTATGAAAATTCTTATCCTGTAATAGCAGGAGGAGAAAATGATGTCAATCATGGTATTTAAATCGACCTTCCATAAACATGGTCTGAGTATAAAATGTGAACCACCTGGTTTTGGAGTAGTGTGATGCACTTTATTGAATTAACATATTCCACAAGGATACCTTTAGTTGCAGTCAAAGTGCTTTAAAACTGTCAGATTCATTGTCTTCAGTGCCCAAAAAAAGTTCATTAAATTAATTCCTAGTCATTTTGGCTATAGTGGCATTTGTAAGAACCCTACTCCAGATCACATTGGGAGCATTTGTTTTCAGAATCATTTCTTCATATCGAGTCACTTTCCTCTTCATCTATTCTGCAGTTTTTAAACAATTTGATGACACTTGGTGCTTTCAGACCATCCCATTATTTGAAGATGAAGCCACACAAAACATCTAGTGTGTGTATTTCCACTCTTTGCGAAAGATCTTTTCTTTGTCAATCCATTCCATTTGGTGCAAACATGATCCTTGAATAAGACCACAAGACATAGGAGCAGAAGTAGGCCATTCAGCAGGTGAGTCCATTCCATAAATCATTGCTGACCTCATAATTCTCAACTCCATTTTCCACTGGTTTGTTGAGGCACACATCTAGAGAACGTTAAAGCTTCTGGTGTTACTACAATGTGGGTATTAATTCTTCACAGGTGTCTCTTCAGCTTATTGTATTTCATGGGATCTGAACATGTTCCACACTGAAGAGTTGCTTACTTAGATTAGGCCACCAGACTATTACACACTTTATTGACCCATATCTCCACTGCAGCCTCATTCATCCAACCATTGTCATGAACATGCACAGAAACCCTTGCAGGAAACTTGATGTCTGGCAATGTTTTACTTTTTAAAATTACCATAGGCTTTAAATTAATTCCTTTTACCCACATGCCATACCACTGTGAATCTTGTCTTCTTGTTTCCTATTGTTTTCACCAGAATTGTTTTGAACCTATCCATTCTGCAGTTTGTCTGCTGGACATATCAGAATTGAATAACGTTTTATGTACGTCACCAATGTGACAATGAATGCTCATGTTTTTTTCTAATGACTGATGATGAATCTCTGGGAACTGGTCATTTTGCTATCAAGGTGTTTGGATAGCCTCTGAGCCATCTTGTCTCTCTGTTGCAAAGCGCAACATTTTTGTTCCATAAGGTAGTGACACAAGCCAGCTGTTGCTCTGAAATTGTTTCTGAACTCCTCAGGATATATTTTTACCATTAGTAAGTACGTATGCATTGCATTTCTGCGCACAACATAACCACCCTGACAACTTTCAAGGACCCATTCTGATCCATGCTTCTCAAGCTCAGAGCGATGGGAGGTTCTTGCTCGTTTTTGGTCTTGTTCTTCTTTTTTAAGGGCAGGTTCTTTCTTTGTTTCTTGCACCAATTTTTCACAAGCACTGAATTTTCTCAATTGTTTATGAAGTACAGAAATAGTAAAACTTTGGATGTTCAGCATTATTCCTTATTCATATTTTTGGAGTTTACATGGTTGTTACGATTTGTGTCACTGTTGCCTATTGCTTATCTCTAAACAGTTCCCTTACTTTGTGAAATTGAATGTTTATCAAAGTATATATCCAGACCCAGCACCATACTTATCTCCAAATGCTAGAAGATCAGTTGTTTGTTGTTAGTGAATGGTTATACGTTTATACAAATTACAGACCAAGATTGAGTAATGTCCTTTCAAAATATTCAGATGGACATTACAATTCAAAAATTCAGCACACCCTGCCATACCTGTGGACTGCATTTGGAAAAGGATCCCATTCTGAGAAATAATTGTAGACTACAGGACTTAGCTTTTGTTAAAACAGGGCAGCTTCATTTGTTTCCAAGTGCTGTGCACAGTAGGAAAATTCCATCTTGAAATAATCTTCATTTTACAAAAGTGTTGATAAACTCAGATGGGGAGGACAATAGAAACTAAAGTAGAAGGGGAAATTTAGTGCTTAAAAAGTATACTGTTTAATTAAATCTAATACATAGCTCAACAATGCTAATTTTGTATATCGATGGCAATCAGGCGATTGAATTAGTATGGGAAACAGGGACAGGCGTAGACCACATGTTCCCATAAGTTTACGCCACCTTCAGTATATGATTATGGATGATATTCAACTTCATAAACTGCCTGAATGCCTACTCCACATGTCCCTTAAGCCCCGGCAGTTTAAAAGTCTATCTATTCCAGCCTTGAATATTGTCAACAATGCAGCATAGACCATCCTCTGGTGAAGGGAATTCCAAAGATTCAAAGCCCTATGGATGAAGATATATTTCCTTGTCCTAGTCCTAAATGATTGACCCAGAGACTGTGCCACTGTGTTTTAGATTCCCCATCCAGGGAAAAAAGCCTGTCAATCCCTATTCTGTCAAGCTCCTTCTGAATTTGGTATGTTTCAGTGAGATCTCCTTCATTCTTCTAAACAGCAGAGAGTTTAGTTCCAGTTTACTCAACCTGTCATCATCCTTTCATCCCACGAACAAATTCAGTATATCTTTTTTGTACTGCCCCCAAGTCTTATCCTTTCTGAGCTGTGGAGACTATGCACGGTTCTTCTGATGTGGTCTCACTGAAGGTATAACAAATGTGGCAACACCTCCTTGCTTTTGTATTAAAATGTACTTGCAATAAAGGTCAGCATGTCATCTGCCCTTTTAATTGATAATTCTCTGTATTCCTTGCAAAAGCATTTCCAATTCTTTCTGAATATCAACATCTAAAAGTTTTGTAACTCTTTTTTAAAAAATAAAAACTTCTGCTTTTCCATTCATGATATCAAACTGAACAACTTGGCACTTCCCCACATTTTGCTCCAATCATAAAATTGTTGCCCACTTAACCTGTCTAGATGCCTTTGCAGACTCCTTGTGTCCTCCTCACAGCTTATATTCCACTGAGCTTTGTATTATCTGCAAACATGGGTACATTAATCTTGGTCCCTTCATCTAATATAGATTGTAAGTAGTAAAGGCCTCTATTTAATTCTTGTGGCACTCCACCAGTGGGGGGCCTTTCAACATGAAAATATCCCCTTTATTGCTACATTTTTCTCCCTGTCTACTAATCAATCCTTCATCCATATCAAAAATCCATGAACTCTCATCTTTTGTGTCAACCTTTTGGAAGGACATCTTCTTGAATACCTTTTGGTAATCCAACTATACTGCTTGACTGATTTCCCTTTATCTACCCTAAAAGTTATATCCTCAAGGAACTTGAATAAATTTGTCAAACGTGGTTCCTTTTCCGTAAAACCACATTGATGTTGTCTGATCCTAGTTTGTATTCCTGACTCATTATTAAGACTTATTCGATAATGGATACTAGCATTTTGCTAATGAGTGATATCAAGCTAACTGGCCTCAAGGGTCCTGTTTCTGTCTCCTTCCTTTCCTGGATAGTGGTGTTACACTTGTAAGCTTCCACCCTGCTGGGAAAAGAGAGTGTCTAATACAAGCACTTGTTCACAGCTAATACTCCTGAACACTAAGATATAGGCCATTTGATTCAATAGGTTTGTCAGATTTTAGACTCTTAAGTTTCTCAAATATATTTTCTCTGTTGATATTAATTAGTTTACATTCTTGGTAGTACAAACTTAGACCTTGCTAAAAGAAGAATAAAATTGAAATTTTTCATCATGTACTTATCAGAACTAGCATGTAAAGAGGTGGCTTCAAACAAGAGACATTACTTATACGGAATGAGAAGACGGTGCTGATAGGTTGGGCCAATGTTGGCATGGAGATGCAGCAGAACAGTTAACTGTCAATCTTAATTCTCACAGCAGGCAGGTAGATTCTGATTGGTTAGGGTGTTGCTGTGGGAACACAGCAGAGTTTGACTGTATCTATGACCCCATTACTGAAATGTATGTACAGTTTCTTTGCCTATGTAAAACAAGTTCCTGTGGACTTATATATGTAGCTACAAAAAAAGCAACACATTACAAGCCTGGTTGATGACCTTTAAATTGGTTTCTGATGGAACACTTAGCACAGCATGGATTTTTAATACATAATTTCCAAAGGCAAATTTAAATCTAATAGTGGATTCATTTTTGAGACTGACAAGCATGGACTGGTTGAAAATGATCAGCATGCTGCCATGTGAATGGTTAACAAGATGTGGTATTCCATACTGTCCACCTGTCATCGGGATGTACAGTATACATACCTGGCATCATGACAGCACTAAAACTCACATATAATATGACTGATTTATGCGGCAGGTAAAAAAGTCTTTTAAACATGACGACAGCACTTTGTTGGTGGAGAAAACTGCTCATGGATTGACTGCAAAGTAGTAGCATGAGACAGCTGGCTTTATTTATTTACATTTTTGAGTCAGCTTCCCCTCCCACTGTAACTTAAGGTCGACAGGAGATTGCTAAGGGCCAAATATACAACAATATACAATGAGTGATGGTTTGATCAGGGTATTCATTATCATACAGGATAGTTGTGAAATGCCATATTTCTGCATCAAGCATTCACAGTGACCCTCTTCTCTTTCTGTACAAAACGGTGTCTCATGTTTCATGTCTGTTTCTTGCATCCCAGTTCTGATGAATACAGGATGAAAGGCTTCAATTTCTTGTCTCCATTTAGCAAATTTAAGTCCTTTAAGTTCCTCACTCTTAATAACCTTCTGGGAGTCATCTGTTTCTAGTATGTAATTTGTGAGGCATCATATTTGCAAATGTTTAAGTCAAATATTATCAAAATAAGAAAATAAATTTTTCATGAGTTTGCTAATATCTCTGGATTGTGCACGTTAAATCTAAATTAATGGTGCTGGATCATTGCTGATTAATGGCATGTAGGGCAGAAAATGTTGCTATTCTTTGGGATTCAACTTTGTAATGGAAAACTTATGTTACATTTGTTGACAATGCCAGAAATTTGCCACAACATTTTGTGATATTTTATGAATCTGGTCAGCATCAAACACAGCTCCAAAAATGTTTGCTCAGTGGCTTAATTTACATTCCAAATGACTTGATCCATGTAAAATCATGCCAGAAAGTTGCCCCTATATGTTTCCAAAATCAATTTAAAACATAAATTTTGTACTTGTTTGCAAGCCTTTCTTTTCAAAAGTTTCAGAACAAAGTTTTCTATTGTTAGCAGTGTGTAAGGAAATTAGGTTCCAATACTTGACACAGTCAAGCTTGTGTAAATTTATGAAATTAAAATTGTCCTGTAAACTGTGCAATTCAAACTAGTATGATGTAAACTCTGCAGCTAAAACAATGCTTTTTCATATGCATGCATTTCATACGTTCGTCTTAATAGGAGTGACACACTCAGTGTCTTCAGTCTGTTTCATCGTTCTGTTAAATCATGGTCTCTTTAAACAACTAGTTACCAATGACTCACCTTTTGTTCAGACCACATATCTCAAGATTCTGTTCACCTCAGACACGGACAATTCGTAACAAGGTCAGCTAGGTGGACATCATAGGGTTGTTAAGCTGATCCAATCAGGGAGCCCTTGGCTAACAGATAAGAACAGAATGTCAGGCATCCTGTTGACTCTGAGAGAGCTGGATCAGTGTCAGGGACTCTCCACGTGTATAAAAGGGTGACTCGGTGACGGGATACCAGCCTCTGTGGAATTATTTCAGCCAATGTCTGCAGTTCTTGGAGAGAAGTCCCCTATGTGAAAACAGTTGAAATATTTAGTCTGTTATGATACTGGTAAATTTTAACTTGAGTCATCTGATTGTTATACAGGACACCTTTCATGGACTAAAATGATTTGTTAAAAGGAAAAAACATGGACTAAAATGGCTGCAGTGGTCACCACCTTAGATTTTGATGAAAATTAGATCATAATTTCAAAGATTCAAAAGCTTAATGATTTTAATTAATTATAAATTGATTTTTATTTTGTAGTGATGTGCGAGGGCGTATTCAGCAAGTAATAGCTGAATCATTCGGGATTGACTCGACTCGTCTGCATCTCACAAAGCCCACCTTTTTCTCAAGGATGAACAATACTGAAGCCAAGACAATGCATGATGAGTATTGGCATCCTCACATTGATAAGGTAATGGATGATGTCTTGATTTTTAATGAAAAGCTTACCAATTTATAATTAATTCATGTGTTGAATAAAGCTTCCATACTTCAGCCTGATTGAAATGTGTTGTGCAGTCCATGCTGTTCTTTAGGCTGCAGTGTTGTGTATGCAGTGTTGTAGTCTGTTTCATTACAACATCTCTTACAAGAGAACTATTAGAAACTCATACAACAAATATCGCAGAATTTTTTTTCTGAAGAAAGGTCCCGACCCAAAGCGTCAACTTTCCTGCTCCTCTGATGCTGCCTGGCCTGCTGTGTTCCTCCAGCTCCACACTGCGTTGTCTCTGACTCCAGCATCGGCAGTTCTTGCTATCTCAGAATTGAGCTGTTATTGAGAAATAAGTTGAATTTTTTTTAGATCCAATCTAAGCACAGGAGAGTTTATTGATGCTCGTTGTTTCCTTTAAAATTTAGGTGTTGTGACTGACTTGATCCTTCAGTGCAGTGTCCTGGGAAGCACTTTGTAGGAAGGTGCATGCATATTACATAGGAACATAGGAGTTAGGAGCTGGAGTAGGCAGTTCAGCTCTCCAAACCTGCTCCAACACTTAACTCCACTTGAAACCAGGACAGGATCAGCCATTACTTATTATTGAACAAGACCTGCACTGTATCTTTCTGCCTGCTGTATGGTCACGTTTACAGCTGAACAGGAGCTTTGTTGAAGCCAAAATATTGTGCTTGATATATGGTGGTTGTAGAACCGCCAACAAATATGATTTTATAGATCTTCCGGTTAAAGACAGAAGCCCTGTTTAGTAACACATTGCAGTTTTGCTGTAATGAAATATGCTGGGCTATCTAATTGATGTTTCTTATAGTGAGTTGCTTATTATCATAGAATCCCTACAGTATTAAAACAGGCCACTCAGCCCATTGAGTCCACACCAACCCTTCAAAGAGCATCCCATACAGACCCACCCCTTATTCTGTCCCTGTAACTGTGCATTTCCCATGGCTAATCCACCTTGCCTGCTCATCCCTGAACACTATGGATAATTTAGCATGGCCAATCCACCTAACCTGCACATCTTTCGACTGTGGGAGGAAGCCCATGCAGACACAGGGAGAATATGTAAGCTCCACACATGCAATTGCCCAAGGGTGGAATCAAATCCAGGTCCCTAGCGCTGTGAGGCAGTAGTGCTAACCACTGAGCCTCCATACAGCTTACGAGCCACTGTGCCACCCATGTTCAGTATTTTTACAGTATCATGAGCACAGTACTCAGTTTACTTCAGTAAATAGTGGATGTACTTTGGATTTGATTTGATTTATTGTTATAACATGTAACGAGATACAGTGGAAAGTGTTGTTTTGTGTGCTGTACAGGCGGAACGTACCATACAAAATGTGTCAGGTAGCAGAATAGAGTGCATAATACAGTGTTATGGCCACAGAAAAGGTGCAGAGAGAGAGAGAGATTGACATTAACAATTGAGAGGTCTGTTCAAAAGTCCTGGGACAAGCTGTGCTTACAATGTGACTTTGATTATTTTTCAGTGTTACAAGCACAGTGACTAAGTGCAATATTTATTAAGATAAGCAGAGTCAATGGAATTTAAAGGGGAAATGAACAAATAAATACATGATGGTTAATGCTATTACTGCTGTTGAAAACTTTGAACATATGATCTGCATTAATTAAACCTAATTCTTGCCTCAACAATAAATATCACAGTGAAACTACAGTGTAATTTTCAATTGTGCTAATGATCAAAGGGATCCAGATTTTAAAAGCTTTACTGAGGAAAGATCAATTAATTTGATATATTCTACCATAGACAATCCTGATTTAAAATGAAGGCATGTGAATGTCATACAGTTGGAAAAAGAATATTCCCAATGAAAGGCAGTCTATTAGAAACATGCCATATTGGTCATATTTCTGGAAAACTCATTTCTTGGATGATTGTTATGCAATACACGTAGGTATTATCCTTTCATTTTGAGGGCCTTTGTGGCTAACTGCATATTTGTCAAGTGTTAAACCTAGCAGTGTGCCCAAGAGTCAAAAATCTAAAGAGTTTTCATTTGTTTGGCATGGACGACACTGTTTCCTTGAAAAGACACACCCCATTTGGTTAAATCAAATTGGCACACATGGGCAGGAGATTTTTGAAGAAGGAACTTGCAGTTACTAGCTGCTATTCATGCCCTCAGTGCTTCCAATGCATTATTACAATTAACATATCACTTTAGAAGTGACGTTGGTTGTTATTTTATAGACAACTGTAGCAGCTAGTATGCACACTGCAGGATGTTGCAATCCGCAGAAGGGACGAGTAAGCCATTGATCTAATTTGGAGACTTCTTAAAAAAATTGTCACAAGACTTGGGTGTTGCTGGCGAGGCCAACATTTGTTGGCAAGCCCAAATGGCATTAGAGAAGGTGGTTCTTCAGCTTCCACCCTCCGTCTGGTGCAAGTGCACCCACAATGCTGTTAGAAGGGAAGTTCCAGGTTTTTATGCAGTAACAATGAAGAAGCACCAGTATAGTTCCAAGTCAAGATGATATGAGGTTTGGAGGGGAAACTGCAGGCAGTGGTGGTCCTTGCATCTGTTGCTCTTGTCCTTTTCCAGAGGTCACAGGTTTGGAAGGTACTGTTGTAGGAGTCTTGGTGAGTTGCTGCAGTGCATCTTCTATATAGTGCACATCATGACCACCGTGTGTCAATGGTGCAAGGGGTGAATGAAAGTTGATGGGAGGAGTGCCAGGAAAGTGGACTGCTTTGCTGTGGATAGTGTTCACCACCTTTAGAGTTGTTTGGAGCTGTACACATCCAGGCAAGTGGAGAATGTGCTGTCACACTTTTAATTAGTACAGTGTAGCTGGTGGGCAGCCTCTGGGAAGTCAGGAGGTGAGCTAATCGCCACAGAAGTTCCAGTTTCTGACCATTTCTTATAGCCACAGTACTTATATGGCTGAAACAAAAACAGAAACTGCTGGGGAAACTCAACAGGTCTGACAGCATCTGTGGGAAGAAAGCACAGTTAATGTAGAGTCCAGGGACTCTTCATCACTTGCTGAGTTTCTCCAGAAATTTCTGTTTTTGTTTCAGATCTCAAGCATTAGCAGTTCTTTGTTTTATTTATATGGCTGATCCAGTTCAACTTCTGGCCAGTGTTTACACCTCGGACATTGATTGTGAAGGATTTAGCTATGGTAGTGCCATTGGAAAGGCCAGGGGCAATGTGTGATTTTCTCCTATTGGAGAAGATCATTACTTGGCACTTGTGGAGTGGAAATGTTATTTATCACTTTACGTGTCAACACTGCCCAAGTCTTGTCACATGCTGTAGAGAGAAACCAGAGCTGACGTTCTTCAGAACGGGGTTTGACTTCTTAAGTTCTGAAGAAGGGTCACTGGACCTGAAACGTTAACTCTGTTTTCTCTCCATAGATGCTGCCAGACCTGCTGAGTCTTTCCAGCAGTTTCTGTTTCTGTTTTTGTTTCTGATTTCCAGCATCCAAAGTTGGTTTGGTTTTTTTTTGTTTAAGTCCAAGTCTTGCTGCATGTTGACATGGTCTGATTCAGCACTTGAAGTGTTGAGAATGATGCTGAGCATTATGCGATCTTCAGTGAGCATCCTCACTTGTGAATTTATGATGGCGGGTAAGTTAATGGTGAATCAGCAGAAGATGGTTAAGCTGAGGACATTCCCCTGAAAACTGCTACAGTGATATCCTGGGACTGAGACAATTTAGGGCCTGTGCATCTTTACTGCTGGAACCAAACCAGACAAACCCTCACCTTCTATCAGCACAAGGCACAAATAACTTTTCCACAACTTAAACAGGTATGGCTACTCTTTCTGGTACAAGATCAAACACAGAGAATGCTGGAGAAACTCAACAGGTCGGGCAGCTTCCATCCATGAAGAGAGAAACAGAGTTAATGTTTCCAGTCTGATATGACTCTCCATCCCTCCATCTTACTGAAGCATCTCTGTATCCTCCTCGGAGCATATCCTCCCATCTAGCTTTGTGTCATCTGCAAATTTGGAGATGTTACATCTAGATCTCTCATCTAAATCATTAATATATACTGTGAATGGCTGGTATCCAAACACTGATCCCTGCAGTATCCCACTGGTCATGCTTGCTACTTGGAAGCGTTATAACAAATTCTTCAGCCTTTGATGTATTTTCTAGTTTGTTGACACAAGCCAGTAGGATTTTGAAGAAGGGTCATATTGGACACAAAACAGTAACTCTGTTTCCATCTCCACTGCTGGCTAACCTGCTGAGTTTTTCTGGCAATTTCTATTTTATACATATTTGCAAGGATTTTTTTTCACATGGCAGAATGTATTTCTTTTCAGTCTGATGATGTGTTTTGTGGCGGCTTTTATTAGGTGGCGAGAGGTTCCCCCCCTCCCCTCCTAGGGACATGAAATACTGTCCATTGGTTTTTGAATGGAAACAATGGACTGTACAGAGTAGGTAGTAGTTGTCTGGCTATAGGGGTGCATGGAGGGGAAGGTGAGATGGCAGTGGGGTTGGATGCAGGGCATTGTTAAAGGGGTGAGGGTAAGGCGAAGGGACCTTTTTAAAGCAGTCTTAGGAGCTGTGCTGCTGTCATCTGCCCCTGCAGTCCTCCCAAACTGGTTCATGGCTCACAAACTGCAGTGAAGCTACATCCTGCAGGAAAAGCCTGAACTGGCCAAAGCTACATGTCAGCTGGGAATGCAGTTTACAAACCACAAAACAGCCTGTATCACAAAATATGTCGCATGGAAGAAATTCCAGACTTTGTTTTCGGCAGAGGATTTCTGTCGACGTGAATAGTCTCAACTCCCAGTGATAAGGCTGAGGAAGAACAATGCTTAATTTTGAGGTTGAAACATATTAAGATTGGCAAAAGTGGGGTTTAAGAATTGGAAGCAGCCAGGTCAGGGTTAAGCCTGGGAGCCGGCAATATGTGAAACCTGTCTTGGTAAAGAATAAAAGGCAGGGCTTCA